GCTATAATCTTTACAGAGGAGTCTTGGTGTGACGCTATAAGAACTGGACTGCTAACCAAAAGGTTGGCAGTTCAAGCCCACCATCCACTCCTTGGAGAACCTATATACAGGGTCACTATGAGTTGGAACTGACTTGACGGCATTTAACAACAGTCTTTACAGAAGTAGACTGACATCTTCTCCCAAGGAGCAGTGGGTAGATTTCCATCACTGACCTTTCAGTTAGCAGTTGAGTGCTTAATCACTGCATCACTAGGGATCTTTCCTGAAAAGATTACAGCCCAGGAAACCCTTTGGGACAGTTTTACTCTGTACTATAGGGTTTTTATGTGTCAGAAAAAGTATTGAAAATATTGATGATGTCAACGATTTCATTTTACTTGTACCTACAATCAATGCCTATGGAAGCAGCAGTCTAGAATTCAAGTGACATACTACATTGGTTACTTCTGCTGCAAAAGATCTCTTTAAAGTATTAAAAAACTAAGATGTCACTATAAGGATTAAGGTATGTCAAACCAAGCCATGGCATTTTCAATATGCATACAAAAGCTGGACAATGACTAAGGAGAACTAAAGAAGCATTGATACCCTTGAATTATGATGTTGATGAAGAATATTGAATATATAACAGATTACCAGAAGATTAAACAAATCTATTTTTGAAGAAGCATTATCAAAATACTCCGTAGAAGGGAGATTAGCGAGACTTTGTGTCACATACTTTGGATTGCTGGAGAACATCAAGCTTTGTAAAGTAGAGGGTCAATAACAAAGGAAGACACTCACTGAGATGGGGTGACACTGGCTGCAACAACAGGTTCAAACATAGGAAAAATGTTGAGATGGTACAGGACTGGGTTTCATTTACATAGGGTCTCTATGAGTTGGAATGGACAGAGTAGAAGTCACTCGGCAGCACACAACAACATAGCTAACAAATGATTGGCAGCCAATACATGTAAAAGACTCCAACAAATCAGTAAGAGCAAGGGGAACCCAACTGAAAAAATACGTAGGAATGTTGAACAGGTTTTATAAAACCATATAAAACTGACCAATAAACATGTAAAAAAAAAGTCTTATTTTTTTATCCAAGAAATACAAATGAAAACCATTGAGGAAATTCCAATAGACATCCACCAGATAGATAAAATGAAAAAGACTAAAATTATAGCAACAGTTACTGAAGACATGATTATAAATTGGCAAACCACTGTAGAATAATATTAGGTAATACTGACCAATATTGACCAAAGATGAGCATGTACATTTCCTATTGCCCCGCAAACCCATCCCCAACAGAAATGTGTTCAATACAACATATCTGAGGGAGCTTCAGAAAATTTGTGGAAAGATTCCATTATCTTTTAATTCCATTTTCCCACAAACTGTTTGAAGCTAAAATGCTTCCAGCAGCCTTATTTGTAATAACCTCAAATTGGAAACTACCCAAAGACCATCAATAGTAGAATGATTTTTTTTAAATGTCATATACTTAAATGAATTCCATACAGAAATAAAAATGCTCATGTAACAGTATAGATGAGTCATATTAAATAAAAAGAAAGAAAAGGCAAATACAAAAGAGCATATAAATGCCACTGCACAGTGTATAAACTATAAACACAGACAAAATTAATTAGGTCATTACAAATCTGAATAGTGGTTATATTTGGGAAGGGAAGTAGCGACAGACAGGGAGCAGAAAGACACTTATATCGTACAGGTAATGTTCTGTTTCTTGATCTGGGTGCTGGCTGCCAGAGTCTTTTCAATACATGAAAATTCATCAATGATATGTGTACATTCCTGTATGCATTCACATATTGCAATAAGAAAATCACGAATATGATAAAAGGCAAATAAATTCAAACAGCAAACTAGAAAAATTGTTTCTATATGTATGATAAAGGGTTAGTGAAGTAATATATAAAGAATTCATTAACTCAGTTTTCACAAAGTTAGTATCCACAGGAAAATGATCACAAATTCAAAAAGGATGTTCAAGCAAAGAAATGAAAATGGCTACTAACCATTCAAATGTGATGGTGGTGTCTGTGTGCCGTGGAGTCGGTTCCAACTCATAGCGACCCTGTACAGGGTTTCCGAGGCTGTAAATCTTTACAGGAGCAGAACACCTCATCTTTCCCGCCTATAACAGCTGGTAGTTTCGAACTGTTGACCTTAAGGTTTGCAGCACGATTCGATTCGTAAGCACTACACTACCAGAGCTCCTTAATCATTCAAATGTACAAGATGTAAAATAGAACACTGGGCTACTGTGTGTGCTACCAAATTTGCATAGATTAAAGGAAACTAGTAAGACTGTTGTTGAGGGTCTAGTGGAACTAATAATCTAGTCCCAATGGAAATGTGAATTGGTATAAACTTTCTGATGAGTTTAGAAGCATCACAAGCCTTAAACGGTTCAAATCTTTTGATCTACTGCCTCCACTTACAGAAATTACTTTGAGGGAAAAATCAGAGTTACAGTTTTAAAGATGAACTTGGTGTTGCTTACAATGGTGAAAATTCTGAGACAATTTAGTTATCCAATGATGGGAAAATAGTTATATTACGGTACATCTCATAGAATGTTATTCTATTATTATACTCATAGTAAAAAGTGTATGAATGGGAAAACACATGATAAATTAAACAAAAATATAGGACACAAAATTCTATGTAGTATGATACATTTTTGTGTTAAAAAAAAATTACACACACATAAGCATTTGCATAGGAAAAGTCTTTAAGAACATATACCAGAATGTTAACATTGGCCATCTTTGGTTAGTATAATAATGGATGAATTTACATTTTCAGTTTATTGTTTAAATTAAGATGTTATTTCAGCATGCACTATATTACATTCAGAAATTTAAGGAAATAATAGGGTTAAAAACAAAACTATCCATTCAATTCCCCTTACTCTAGAAAACTAAACAACTTAGATTTCTGTGTCTCCTTCAATTCCCACATTCAATCTGTAACTGTTTCCTCAATTTTACCTTAGAAATGTCTGTCCAAGCCATTTTTCTATTATTTCTTCTCTCATTTGCACAATTCAGTTCTTGTCTTCCCTAGTGAACTCATTCAATCTCATCATTCCGGCAAAATGGCCACGTCTTTCACTCCTCAAACCACTTATTATAACGACTTTTCACTCACTGTTCTACCCCAAAACCAAACTCACTGCCTTGAGTCCATTCATAGAACTTGTAGAGCAGTAGGTTTGCTTTTGTGGAAGGGTTTCCAGTCTTTATAGAAGCAGACAGCCACACCTTTCTCTCGCAGGGTGCTTAGCCACGGTTGTACTGCAACCTGGTCAGTACTTTCATGCCTCTTAACCTTGGAATATAACTCAGTTTTCTTCTCTGTAATTCATTCTGTCATTTTCATCTTTCTAATCCGATATACAGTCAAGATTGACCTCCAATATCATTTACTGGGTGTAGCCTCTCCGACGCAGCAAGAATGGAGTAGTTTCTAAATGAATCCTCCAATGACAGTTTGAACATCTTCCAACATTTATCACTCTGTACTGCAATGATCTGTTCGTGTCTAGTTTCCCCATTGTTCTGACATGGATCATTTTGTTTTCAATTTCTTAAAACCCAGTTGAATGAATGAATGTAAAGGGCATAGATGCAAAGCACTCGTCTATACAGAGGTCTGATGCTTTTTCTTCAAGATGGCAGAGACGCCTTAAAACAATCCCACACAAAAGCATCCACAGGCAGTCTCCAGTCAGAAGAACTGGCTACACCTAGCTCAATTAGCAAAGGACAAAAGACCTGAACCTAGATGCTGAGATGTCCCGGCCCTAGCCACCCACAGGAGATCCCTACACAAAGATCTCAAAGCTTGTTAGAACATTGGCACCTGCTGCCGCCAGTCCGCGGGCGCCACGCCTCAGCAGGGAATGGTAACCCCAGGCACTTCTGGATACTGACCCAAAAACAATCGCTGGAGAAAAATAAGAAATGACCCGTGGATTTCCAAAATGCACGATTCGGCCCCGCCCCAGCCAGACGCTGTCCCCCCCGCGGAGTGTCCATCCCTGGGGAAAGGAGTAGATGTGGCTTCTGCCCACTGGCGCTGCCAATGCGGCCACAGTTTGGGATCCTGCGAAGGCCTGGGGCACAGCCGCGGATTACACCTGTCAGGCTGCGCCTAACGCTAGGCCCTGAAGCCAACGGGGGTCGGTGGCCGAGGCCGGTGGGTGCACGTCACCCGCCATCTCGATCCTGGCTTGGCCCAACGTCTTGCCTCCTCGTTTCTCTCCTTGTCCTTCTCCTCAAACAAAGACCATTCACACCCACCGCCATTTTTCCCTTACCTCAAAAACCACCTCCTCGTCAAAGTCCGGTGTCATCCTTCTCCGCCATGCCACCCGCCTCAGCACGATGGGAAATGAAGGCGGGAGAACTGGCAGCACCCGGGCGGAGGCGACAGCCTGGTTTGTGGATCTAGAAAACTACAATTCCCACCAGGCCCTGCAACTCACGCCCTATTTTGATACGTGCTTATTGGAACAGAGTTTGAGTTTGTGGGCGGGGAAGACGGGCGGAGGATGGAGTCCAATTTCTCTAATTGGAAGAGGCTAGGGCTTTTGTGTGCCTTTTACGGCCGCGACTAGCAGGGGGCGCCTAGAGCACTGATTTCTTTCTTTCGTTCGTTCATTCTTTTTTTGTTGTTGAGTCTGCAGGGCACGCGCCAGCGGACAGCGGCGCGCGCAGCTCGAGTCCGCGCTTGGCTGTCCGCCAAGAGTTCAGAGGGGCGGCGCTCGTGCACGCTCGCCTGCAGCCGGCGGCTCGCGCCCGGGAGAGCGGCAGGGTCTCTAGAGCTGGTTGCGTCCTTTGTGCAGTAGCCGCGGGACGGAAAGCGAGCGCTGCGGAGGGTTTTCTCCTCTGCCAGAACACTTGAAACAATGGACTGAAAGGCGAACATGGATTGAGTAGGGCGAGTGGAGAAGCGAGCTGCCCGGGAGAATCATGACTTCTGCCGCCGGTAAGTGACGGCGCTCGCGCTGCCGCTGGAAAGTTTGTTGGGAGCACTGCTCATCTTCGACTCTCCGCGAACAACTTTCTCCTCTGGGTGGGTGAGTTGTTTGTCTGCCCTCCACCTTTCCAGAGGACCTCGGCTAATGCTGAACGGAGAAGGTTTGTGCCGGATTTACTCTTCCCTTCCTGCCAAAAAGGCTGCCTGGAAATCCATGTCTCCCTTGGGACCTCTCATCAGAGGTAAACCTGTATTGGGGACTCTTTGCGTCAGGTGAAATGACAAATGTTGAGGGCATTTGCTCTTTCCTCCTAAAATTTGAGCGACTTTGCCTTTGCGTGTGAAAATAGTTTAGATTCCCATGTTAAGAAATCAGTTATTCTAGGAAAGCTAAATGCACCAGCGTGTGGAATTCAGAGACTTTATGCGGGTAGCTTTAAACCTAGTATCTACTGGAAAACTTTACCCCCTTTTTCCTTAACGAGATTTTAGACCTTGTTACTCACGTCCTGGGGGTCTTATTTAAGAAACGGCAGTGGGATTGCCAGTGGCAATTGTTGACTCTTCTTCGGCCAATTTCGCATAGATTTCGTCAGCTTCTACCTGGTTGTGTAAACAAAGCCTTATGTTCTGTCTTCCGCCCACAGCCTTTCCCCTTATCCAAATGACAAAGGCTGTGTTTACTTTTGTGTGGATTTTGAGCAATTCTGGACGTTTTTAAGGAACAGTTTTTATTTCCCAAAGTGATTTCTAGAGTCGTATTCGATTCCTTTTAAAAGAACATAAGTTAATTTTTAAACAAGATCTTAATGTGTGAAGCAAAGTATTTTTTTATTTTGTTTTGTTTTACATTTTTGTTCGTTTTGATGGGAGTAAATTTAAATTGTTGTTGTTAAGTGCCGTTGAGTCGATTCCGACCCGTAGCGATCCTGTATAGGGTTTCCAGGGAGTTTCTGGTGAGCTTGAACCACCGACCTTTCAGTTCAAACTACTTTGCAGTGTGACGCATTAGCCCACAGCGCCAGATATCGTTTAAAACTTCACCTCAAAGTAACTTCTAGAATCAGCACTTTAAATGTGTATCAGATGAAATTTTCTTTGCTTTTCCTGGCATTTGTTTAAAACGCCTGTAACTTGAAACTGTCAAACAGCACTCTGAATGTTATGATTTGTGTTATTTTCTAAAGTCTAGATGTAGTTGGGTCAAGCATTGCTAGGTTTAACCAGATTATAATTAACTAGGCGAGAAGTTAACCAATAGGAATAAGAAAACAGAGTCAAGTGTTTCTGTAGATGTTGTGGGTGTTTCCTTTTTGATTTTGTATGTGTGTAATATGAGATAAAGGAGCTCTGGTAGCGTAGTGGTTACTAGGGCTGCCAACCTCAAGGTCAGCAGTTCGAAACGACCAGGGGTTCTGCGGGAGAAAGATGAGGCGTTCTGCTCCCTTAAAGATTTACAGCCTCGGAAACCCTGTTCAGGGTCATTATGAGTCGGAACCAACTCCACGGTACTTACCACCAACAACAACAATATGAGATATGTCTTAGCCATTGAAGTTCCTTATAAACTTTTTCTTAACAAGGAAGGCTTTCTACTGACTTTCTTGTTGTTAAGTGCCTTCAGTCAGTTCTGACTCATAGCGACCCTAAGTGGGTTTCCGAGGAACGGCTGGTGGATTTGAACTGCCAGCCTTGCAGTTCAAACTGATCTTGTGGTCCAGTGCTTTTCCTAGAGCGTCTCACCAGGATTTGTGTGTGACTGTAGATGAATTATTTTCATCTGAAATGTATGTGCCTTACCTTTGTTCAAGTTTTCTTTATTGCTGAATCTAAGTAATTTGAGTGTAAAGTGATTGGAAATTTTCAAATCCCTATAGCTCATGTTAGTTCTCCTTTTTTCTAGAGTCAACTGAATTTGAAATATTCATACCTTTTATGTATCAGCTTTCAATTTCAGTCCGAACCTTTTATAATAACTAGTAACAGAAGCACTTAATTTGACCTGCAAATAAAAAAACCTGTTTTCTGAGATTCAGTTTGGAAGTTTATGATTCTGTCATTTGGATTACTCTAGAATAATGCAAACTATTTTTATATTTTATCAACTTTACAATTAAAGAACACCACAGACATTTTTGTGGTATTTAAAAGAGGGGCACTTCTTGTGTTTAGCTAAGTTCGTTGGTTTTTAGTGTGGCTTGCTTGGAGCGTGAAGTGCCTTTTTGTGTTGTTATTCACCCATCAGTGAAGATTCATTAGTGTTCTTTTTCTGTTTGCATGGGATCATGGAAGAAAAACTGGGAATATCTAAGTAATAAGAACCCTGAAGAAGAGTTTGCTCTGTTTGTTGTTTTCTATCCCCCTACATCTGTGAAGGAACTGTGGCTCGGCGCTGTAGGATAAGTACAAACCACAAGGTTGGCCATCAAACCCCCAGCCACTCCTTGGAAACCCTATACAGGGTTGCTTTGGGTCAGAACCGACTCAACAGCATTTAACAACACCTGTAAAGCTTGGGTCTTTAGTAAAGATTTTCAAATTATTCTAAGCAGCATACGAAAAAGGAGAGAGAACGATAGATATGTATTTTTTGCTTTTTCAGTGTGTGCAGGTCACTATCATATTCATTTGGGACTGATCCAATAGGCAACAAAAAAGTGTACCCATGAGCCACCTGCGTGGGACAGATGGCGATGAGGTTTGTTACAGTAAATCACATACTAGCACTTCAGTTTCTTACCTTAGCTTTCCCTGGAACCTAACAGCTGTGTAAATAAAAGATCTGCTGCTTTGCTGTAAGAAGCTTTGGAGCTGACTGCGGATACAGTATTAAGATCCAGAGGTGCTGGATTCATTTCCAAACATGATGCACTTGCTTATTTCAAGACTTTGGCATTGGAGCAGACCATAATATAACGGCTTGTTGTTGCGGACCGGGTCCCCGGCAGTTTGTTAATTTTTTGAGTTGTGTTTCTTTCAAAGTTTAAAAAAAAAAAAAAATCAAAACAGGATTTCTGATATTGCAGGACCAATAACTCAGTTATTCTAACTTTAAAAAATTAAGAGTTTATTTAATACACCCATTGTAGTTGATTCCAGCTAAGTTTTTATAATATTATTCTACATTAAAATGAGTATTGGTTTAAAAGAAATTTTCTGTCACTGACTCTTATTAAGGGTAGGAGTCTGTGGCAGCTCTGTTTTCAACCCAGGAATATAGAAGCAAATGAGACCAGTGAAGTTCCTGCCCTTCTGGAGCTTGCCTTCTAGTGGGGGAGACAATGCTGTTGAAAATAGCTTCGGGTCACTTGGCTAGAATGAGTCATTGGCTGTTCAGTGATAGACTTCTCTCCTTCCTTGTGGAAAACCCAATTTGATTCCCAGATTCCCAGCCAGTGCACCTCATGCAGCCATCATCCATCCGTCTAACAGTAGAGACTTGCTGTTGCTATAATGCGGATCAGATTCAGCCAAGCTTCCAACAACAACAAAGTGACTAGAGAAAGTTCAGAGTCCTGTGTGGCGCTGTAGGATAAGCACTGAATCGGAAGGTCAGTTTGAACCACAATACTGCCACTTGGCAATTCAAACTCACTAGCTGCTCCTTAGAAACCCTATACAGGGTCACTATGAGTCAGAACTGACTCGACAGCAATAAACAACAGCAACAACAAAAGTTCCAACACACCTGAACTGACATTTTTGCTCTTGGAAGAACATTTTTAAAGAGGTCTTGTGCAGCAAATATGCTCAATGCAAAGTGTTGTTTGCAAAGATGTCCATTTAAGGACTAAGGCGCACCTGATCCAAGCCATGGTGTTTTCAGTAGTTTCACAAGCATGTCAAATTTGGACAGTGAGTTAGGAAGACTGTAGAAGAATTGATGCAATTCATTTATGGTATTGGAGAAGAATATTAAAAGTATCATAGACTGCTAGAAGAATAAATAAATCTGTATTGGAAGTACAACCAAAATGCTCTTTAGTAAGCAGACGGCAAAACTTCATCTCTTATACTTCGCCATATTGTCAGGAGGGACCAGACCCTGGAGAAGGACATTATGCTTGGTAAAGTAGAGGGCGGCATAAAAGATGGATACTTCCAACAAGGTGGATTTGAACATTGGCAGCAACTAAGGGAGTCTTGGTGTAGCACTGTGGGTTAATGCGCCAGACTGTAAAAGCCGTTTGAACTGCAAGGTCAGCAGTTCAAGCTCACCAGCTACTCCTTGGAAACCCTATACAAGGTTGTTATGGGTCAGAATCAACTCGACGGCACTTAACAACAACATGGGAGTCTTGGTGTGGCACTGGGGGTTAATGTGCCAGACTGCAAAGCCAGTTGGACTTCAAAGTCGGTGGTTCAAGCTCACCAGCTGCTCCTCGGAAACCCTATATAGGATTGTTATGGGTCGGAATCAACTCGACAGTACTTAACAACAGCAACAAGTAGCTATGGGCTCAAGTTTAACAATTGTGAGGATGTTGCGGGACCAGACAATGTTTTGTTCTGTTGTGCACCAAGGTCTCTGTGAGCTAGAACCTGCTCAGTGGCACCTCAACAACAAAGAGTTCATGGAAAAAATTCCATTATCTTTTCATTCCATTTTTCCACAAACTTTTTGAAGTCCCTTCCTATAAGAAATAGCTTCTCCTTAAGGAGCTCTGGTAGCGTAGTGGTTACGAATCGGGCTGCGAACCTTAAGGTCAGCGGTTCGAAACTACCAGCTGCTCCGCGGGAGAAAGATGAGGCTTTCTACTCCCGTAAAGATTTACACCCTCGGAAACCCTGTACAGGGTCGCTATGGGTCGGAACCGACTCGATGGCACTTAACAACAACAACAACAAAGGAAGTATCGCAAGAATTGCTGCTTCATGAAATGAAATATGATAGGATGAATGTAAAACTGATGTTCTCCCATGTAAACCCACATAATTCACAATGAAAACTTAAAAAAAAAAGCATTAGTTCTTCAGAATTGATCAAACGCTTCCATTTACAAGTAAGG